GGGGGGGGGTTGTTTTTCTTTTTTGGTTCTGGTCCGGTTCTGATCAGCTTTCTGCAGCCGTTGTGCACCAAGACATATCTAGAGAGAGATGGATCTTCAGATAGCCCACACAAAATCACACAATGGTCGAGATCAAGTCCAAATAATCCAGAGGGGTCTTGATGAAAAAAGTCCCGGTGAGCTCAGAGAAGACACTGGAATTCCAAGCAACACCTCCCCACTTGAGAGGCCTCATGGGCCAGCAAGCAGCACTCAGATTGATTGATAAGGCTGGAAATCTGGTTCTGGTCTGGTTCTGATTGGCTCTCTGCAGCTGTTGAGCACCAAGATGCTTTTAGCGAGAGCCAGACCTTTGGATAGCCAGCACAAACCCACACAATGGATCCAATCATGTCCAACTTATCCAGAGGGATCCGGATGAAAGAAGTCCTGGTAAGATCCGGAGAAGACACTGGACCTCCAAGCAATGCCTCCCCACTTGAGAGGCCTCATGGGCCAGTAAGCAGCACTCAGATTGACCAATGAGACTGGAAGTCCAGTTTTGGTCCAATTCCCAGTCGGTTCCTTACAGCTCTCTGCATTTACTGAGCGCCAATGTCACTATGAATAAGGACCAAATTTTTTAGATCAGATCAAAACTTTCCCTCCATTTCAGCAGAAAGCAATGGCCAGACGCACTGTTGGCTTCTGGGTAGTGCACTATTGGCTTCTGGGTCATGTAGTCCTTTTGACTGGCAGTACAGGATAGGCCGATATATCCTGATGCATGCTCAATAATCCAGGTAGAAAAATCTAAAAAGTTAAGTCTGGTCTTCTGGACATTCAAAAAACAAAACAAAGCCAAAAAAAAAAAAAGTTTTCTCCTATAATTCCTACATGTGTCCAGTTTCACTACTTTTTGTCTGTCGAAAGAGATCACATTTGTAAATGAGTCTTCTAGGCTCATTGTGACTTATCTGTCTAAATAAAGGTTGAATGAAAAAAACACAAGGTCAACAATGCAATGAAATGGTCAAGATGAGAAGAACCATCTCGACTTGCCAAAAAAAACAATGACAACAAGAAATACCAAAGCATGAAACATATATACAAAAACAAGGCACCAAAAGTGAAATACCTCCACAGCAGCATGGTCCTATTAGCAGTTTTTCTGTTGGCAGTGATGTTCTCTTAGCAACATGGTCCAGTTAGCAGCATGGTACTGTTAGCAGTGTGGTTCTGTTAGCAGTAAGGATCTTTTAGCATTATGGTACTGTTAGAAGTGTGGTTCTGTTAGCGGTGTGGTCTTGTTAGCAGAACGGTCCCGTTAGTAGCATGATGATAATAACAACCACGGCAATAGACGATGACTGCCTTCCAGAACCGGATCCAGCAGACACAAAACTTCCAAGGTTTCCCCGCAGAACCGAACTGTTCTGTAGAGTTCGGTCTGTGCAGGCAGATGGAGGTTCACGGAGATGGCTGCCATGTCAGGCTGGAACCTGAGCCCGAGGCTGAAAAGGGGCCAGGAACTGAATCACAGTGGCAGGATGGCAGGATGGCAGGATGGCAGGATGGCACGATGGAAAGGCAGCGACACATAAAACTCCAAAAATGCATTGCTGTCATACCCGTAGCGTGGGTGTGCAGTGTAGGTGCAAAAAAAGTTAAAACAAAAACAACAGGAACAAAAAAAGAGTGATCTGGACAATGTCCAGAGGACCAGATTGAACTTTTTTGGATTTTTCTACCTGGATTATTGAGCATGCATCAGGAAAAAAAGAGTGAGTCAAAGTGGCGCACCCGTCAGCGCTACCATTCTGCGGCGCCCGTGACGTTACTCTACTATACACACAGAGACAATCAGGTACTTATAGAACAATGAAACTATAGTTTCCTGAAATATCTTGCAAAAATACCTGAAGCTCTCGACCTTGACCTCTCTAAGTGTTTCAAACATCTGCTAAGTTCATAGGAAAAACCAATGCAACATGTCCCTGTTTTTAATTTTCTACATTGTCTTACAACCTAGCTGTTATTTTGTTACATTTTTTAATACCATTTTATTTACACTTGTTATTCTCAATTTGTTTGCATCCTTTATGATTGTCCATTGTTGTCTTTGTTGTCTACTGTTGTCATCACTCTTTGTTAAAATCAGGTCTCTCTTGCAAATGAGTCCCCGAGGCTCAGTGGGATTTACGTGTATAAATAAAGTTTGAATTTGTTGTGGAATTTTTATTACAAAGTGGTGAGATAAACTGGAAATAAACCAGAGAAAGATCAGTTTGGAACAAAGTTTAATTCAAAGACAAACTACATTTGAATGCCCTGCCCGTGAATATTGTCAGAAGAGAGAGAGAGCCTCGATTAAAGTTAAGCACACTTATGTATAGAGAACATACAGTGTTGCTGGGCAGATCTTATTGTGGGTGTGCTGTACCCTCTCCTTTCCTGGAACACAAACAGTTCTCCTTATCTGAAAAGAGGAGAACAAAACCAGTACCTTCCACCTCCACCTCCTGGTTTCAGTATGCAATACCAAGGTCAGTTTGACATGAAACACAGGAACACAGTGGTACAGAAAAAAACATCTTCATAGTACCATCAAAAGTAAAATTTTCATCTCCCATCACAAATTAAAACCAGAAAAAACAAGAAGTCACGCATTTGAATGTCTGAATGACTATCAACAGATAGCCCTCACCTCAATAGTTGCTAAATGCTTTGAAAGACTGGTCAAGACCCATATCAAAACAACAATCAACATCAGCGAGGACGCTCACCAGTACGCATACTGGAAGAATCAATCAACAGAGGATGTAATTTCCTCTGTGGTCCACGCTGCTCTCACCCACCTGGAGCAGAAGGACTCCTACATCTGTATGCTCTTTGTGGACTTCACATCTGCCTTCAACACCATGATCCCCCAAACCCTGATGGACAAACTACTCACACTAGGACTAAGCTCCTCCATATGCAACTGGGTTCTGAACTTCTTAACTGTCATGTTTTGTAGTACACTTTGACCCCAAATGGCAGACCGGACAGAAAAACAGAAACAGTATCAAAAATATTTTTTTATTTACAGGTGCGGGAGCTGCAGAGGGAGAAGAGGACTATGGTGAGTAATGGTTTTGTTAAGTTGAAATCTCTTGAAGGAAATGATTGTAGTTTCTTTCTTACTGAAAACAAGTCCTGGTTGAGGTGAGGATCGTTGGAGAGAGGGTCAGGTTTGTAGATGTGTGAATGGTCTCTTTCCAGGCTGCTGTTTTCTTGAGTAGTTTCTTTGAAGATCTCGATCGGAGTGAATGGGGATTCACGACAAAAACACAAAAGCCTAGGAAGGCTGAGTGGAGTCCAGGACTAGGAAGTCACAAAGGCTCGATAATGTTCCAGCATCGAAGGAGTGTCTGGTTGAGGCTTTTAAGCTCCTCCAAAGTCGTCCCTCAGAATCGCGTGCAGGTTTTTTGTGGTTGATTGTGGAAACTGCTGCAGCTGTGAAAAAGGAAGAACAACCTTCACATCAAAGTGAAGAAGGTGAAGGAGATGGTTGTGGACTTGAGATTGAACAAACACACCTAGCCCCCCCACACCCCACCACCACAAATATAGGAGGATCTGTGGTGGATGTGGTCTCTAGCAACAAGTACTTGGGTGTGCACCAGAACAAGAACCTCTGCTGGGGCAACAACACTATCAGCCTGATCACGAAGGCACATTAGAACCTCTATTTCCTCAAGTGGCTGAGGCGAGCTGGTCTGGGAAGCTCAGTCCTCATCTCCTTCTACAGGTGTGCAGTGAAGAGCATCCTGTGCTCCAGCATCAACGTGTGGCATGGAGGCTGCACAGCTGCAGAAAGAAAAGCTTTACAGAGTGGTGAAGGTTGCACAGAAGTCTGTTGGAGTCAACCTCCCCACCATCACAGACATCTACACCTCCAAATGCAGGAAGAGGGCCACCTGCATCATGAAGGACCCCACTCACCCAGCACACACTTTTTGCTCCACTACCCTCATGCAGGAGTTTGAGGAGCATTAACTGTAGAACCACTAGACTGAGGAACAGCTTCTACCCTGAAGCTGTTAGACTCATGAATCCCTAATCAGGAAAATCACAGTGAAAAAAAAATCACTGTGCCACTTATCAATGAGCCCAATTGTGGTTGCTGCTGCTGATTTGTTTCATGCTGCTGTATTCATTCGTACTCATCTGCTCACACAGACTCATGTTCGTGCTGCTGTTGTTTGGTATATTGTTTTTGTGCAATTAGTGTTTAGTGTATTTCTTAGTTCATATCTTAGATCTTATTACTGTGTTTCTTTTACAATTTATACTTTTGTTGGATGTAACCTGGCACAGAGGTTAGAGAAGGTGGGTCTGTGATCGGAAGATTGTTGATTCAACTCCTAGTACCAACAACATCAAAATGTGGGTGGGAAAGGTAAAGCACCCACACCCACCTCTACCCTCATTTGCTCCACTCTGGGCCATTGAGCAAGGCCCCTAACCCCCACCATCTGCTCCCCCAGGCACCATAGCATCTAGCAGCTCTCTGCTCCACACAGAAGGCAGTGGTTGCTCGGTGGTCTGTGGTTGTGTCAGGAAGGTCATCTGGCGTAAAAATAATTGCCAAGTCTTCATGCGACTTAGTTCGCTGTGGCGATCCCTGAAGAAGGGAGCAGCCGAAAGAAAAAAATAAAAACTAAAACTAAAAAAATAAAATAAAAGTTGGATGTAACTGGGACCCGTGTACACATCTTTGTTCCACCACATGTACCACATATGATGTGAATGACAATAAAGGAACCTAGAGCTTGACCTTGAAACATTAATTAGTAAT